TTGTCTCCAGCACAGAAGTTCTCCTACTGCAGACACAGCTGATTCTCACAAGATATTGAAAACCAATTGGCCTGGAGGTCAATTCCTCACAATGATAACTACAACAATCAAGGCTTAATTACAACAAGACTGTGCACAAAGCCCACAAGGGGGTGCACCAAGAGTGTCTACCTCAGGTAAATGGGACACTTAGCACAGAAAGGAACTCTATCAACACAGCGAAGCATAAAAAATGCCGAGACAAAGAATCAGGACACAAACGACAGAATTGGAGGAAAGCAAACTGCTGGATATAGAGTTCAAAACCACACTTTTAAGGTCTTTAAAGAACTGTCTAGAAGCCGCCGATAAACTTAATAAGGCCCTCGAAAAGACTGGTGAGACCGCCGATAAATGTAGTGAGATCTTCAAGAAATCTAATGAGACCCTCGATGTTGTGATAAAGGACCAACTAGAAATTAAGCATACACTGACTGAAATAAAGAACATTATACAGACTCCCAACAACAAACCAGAGGATCGCAAGAATCAAGTCAAAGATTTGAAATACGAAGAAACAAAAAACACCCAACCGGAAAAGCAAAATAAAAAAAGAATCCAAAAATACGAAGATAGTGTAAGGAGACTCTGGGAGAGCTTCAAGCGTACCAACATCTGAATTATAGGGGTGCCAGAAGAAGAGAGAGAGCAAGATATTGAAAACCTATTTGAAGAAATAATGACAGAAAACTTCCCCTACCTGGTCAAAGAAATAGACTTACAGGTCCAGGAAGCGCAGAGAACCCCAAACAAAAGGAATCCAAAGAGGACCACACCAAGACACATCATAATTAAAATGCCAAGAGCAAAAGACAAAGAGAGAATCTTAAAAGCAGCAAGAGAAAAACAGTCAGTTACCCACAAGGGCATACCCATACGACTGTCAGCTGATTTCTCAACAGAAACCATGCAGGCCAGAAGGGAGTGGCAAGAAATATTCAAAGTGATGAATACCAAGAACCTACAACAAAGACTACTTTATCCAGCAAAGCTATCATTCAGAAGTGAAGGCCAGATAAAGAGCTTCACAGATAAGAAAAAGCTAAAGGAGTTCATCACCACCAAACCAGCATTATATGAAATGCTGAAAGGTATCCTTTAAGAAGAGGAAGAAGAAGAAAAAGGTAAAGATACAAATTATGAACAACAAGTACACATCTATCAACAAGTGAATCTAAAAATCAAGGGAATAAAAAATCTGATGAACAGTATGAACTGGCGATTGTAATAGAATCAGGGACATAGAAAGGGAATGGACTATTCTTGGGGAGGGAGGGAAGGGGTGTGGGGTGAGGGAAGAGATTGGACAATAATCGTGCACCTATGGATGAGGACAGTGGGTGGGGAGTGAGGGCGGAGGGTGGGGTGGGAACTGGGTGGAGGGGAGTTATGGTGGGAAAAAAGAGTAACTAATGTAATAATCTGAACAATAAAGATTTAATTTAAAAAAAAAAAATGATGAGAGAGAATCACTGACTGGCTGCCTCCTGCACACCCCACACTGGGGATTGAGCCTGAAACCCCGGCATGTGCCCTGACCGGGAATTGAACCGTGACCTCCTGGTTCACAGGTCGATGCTCAACCACTGAGCCACGCAGGCCAGGCTTACCTACATTTTAATTGTAATCTTTGCCTGTACATATGACAACCTTTTGTAATTGCACTACAGAAAGTTCATTCAGTCTTTCCTTCAGAATAACTTACCAAAATGTTTCTTTTTTTTTTTTCCTGTCTTCTTTCCAGGGTTTTTTTTTGTGTGTGTGTGTGTGTGTGTCTGTGTGTGTGTGTGTGTTTTAATATTTTATTGGTTTTTTACAGAGAGGAAGGGAGAGGGAGAGTTAGAAACATCGATGAGAGAGAAACATCGATCAGCTGCCTCCTGCACACTCCCCACTGGGGATGTGCCCGCAACCAAGGTACATGCCCTTGACCGGAATCGAACCTGGGACCCTTCAGTCCGCAGGCCGACGCTCTATCCATTGAGCCAAACTGGTCAGGGCCAAAATGTTTCTTAATATTGATAGCTTCGAAGTTTTTTTTAACGTCACAACTTGCTGTTGATATATGATGTCCAAAGCGCGGCACAGCCACACCAAAACATTTGTCCAAAATGGGGCACAGCCACACCAACCCCCAAGGATGCAAGTGAAAGGAGAAGTGGAGACAGAGGCCTGACCAGCGGTGGTGAAAACTCTGACTTTGCAGATTCCACGAAAGCATGTGACTGTGGGGGACAGTGTGGCAGCCCCGCCATGGAGAAGGAACAGTGAGGGCCTGAGGCCTAGGCTTCCAGATTTCACAGTGGTCCTGCCGCCAAAGGGGAGGAGGGGGCCCACTGGGAGGTTACGTGCACGATGCAGGCACGGCATGATCTGGGTCGGGGGGCACCAGACACCGCCTCACACCGATCGATCTCGATCCGTGGGGACCCCAGGACGGGGCCGGACATGGTTCACAAGCCGCCAACGGGACTGGGTTCCTGCCCGCTGGGCTGAGGACTGGGCAGAAGTCAGAGTCGTCCACCGCTGACTTCAAATGCCTGCAGCCAGAGGAGCGGCACCATGGAAATGCCAACCGCCAGGAACTGGCTGTTCTGTGGCGAGCGGCTTCGGGTCAGGGACAGCTCCTCGCTTTGGGGACAGGTGTCTCGGAGGCGGCCGCACAGTGGGCCTGCTCCCCCAGGGGCTTCTGTGGGACCCGGGAGCCCTCCGGCCGAGCAGAGAGGAGCTTGGAAGGAGACTCCCCCCTGGGAGCGAGAGTAGCCCACGCCCGGAAGGGGGAGCCGCCCCCCCAACATCACCGGCTTCAGTCACTGCCCTGAGACCAGGCGGCAGGGAGCTCGCACCCCTCCCTGGCCTGGGCCGTGCAGATGCACCTTCGGCCTGCTCTTCAACGGATACACTTCTCTCCTGATTATAAAAGTTAAAATATGTCCGGGGGGGGGGGGGGGGGCACTGCTACCATTCACCTGCCCGCTGCCCGCTGCCCCCTGCCCGCTGCCCCCTGCCCACTGCCGCTGCCCGCTGCCCGCTGCCCCCTGCCCACTGCCCGCTGCCCCCTGCCCGCTGCCCCCTGCCCGCTGCCCACTGCCCGCTGCCCGCTGCCCCCTGCCCCCTGCCGCTGCCCGCTGCCCACTGCCCGCTGCCCACTGCCCGCTGCCCGCTGCCCCTGCCCCTGCCCCTGCCCGCTGCCCGCTGCCCGCTGCCCACTGCCCGCTGCCCGCTGCCCGCTGCCCGCTGCCCCTGCCCGCTGCCCGCTGCCCGCTGCCCACTGCCCGCTGCCCGCTGCCCCCTGCCCCTGCCGCTGCCCGCTGCCCGCTGCCCGCTGCCCACTGCCCGCTGCCCGCTGCCCCTGCCCCTGCCCCTGCCCGCTGCCCGCTGCCGCTGCGTGGGGCACTCTATTTCCTCCAGTCATTTTCTTCTTGTTAATTTTTACTTTTTTTTTATTTCAGAGACGAAAGGAAAGAGAGAGAAACATCCACGATGAGAGCTTGATTGATGGGCTGCCTCCTGCCCGCCCCACACGGGGATGGAGCCCGAACCGGGCCTGTGCCCGGACCCAGAGTCCAACCGCGACCTCCTGGTTCACAGGTCCACGCTCAGCCCCCAGCCCCGCGGCCGGGTCCAGTCATTTTCCAGGCGTCATTTTCGCAAGGATGCCTGCTTTTTTCACTAAACATATAAACATGTCCTGCCTCTTGAAAATCCCACAACATCGTTCAAACAGGGCCTTGCTATCTCCTCACGTATTTTTTAAAAGGGGGCCAACTTCGAGCTCCACAAAAGGGAAGTAGAAAAAGGCAAGGCGTCCAAGTCAGGCTCACGCCGCCCAGGGCGCTGCCGGCGGGGCCTGGGCACCCGGCTGCTGAGCGGGTGCGGCCCAGCGGGGGGACAGGGCGGCTCATCCTGGGGGGGCCCCCAGGAGCAACAGCGCAGGCTCGGGCTCCGAGGGGCCCCACCCCTCCCCCTCCCCCTCCCTCCCCCTCCCCCGCCCCCCAGCCGGTTCTGGGGTTAGTTCCTCGTACCCCACCCTCCCCCGCGGCTGGGCTGGCCCAGACCCACAGGCCGCCGTGGAGTCGGGGCGCTCCTCCTCCTCGCAGACCTTTGTCCCCTTAAACCCGTTTTCAAACAAGAGCTGCCGCGCCCCCTGGTCAGGCGTCTCCCAGGGGGTGGCAGGGGCGGAGCGGGGGCGCACGAGGCAGGGAGCCCGGGTTGCCTTGGCATTGATCTCTGTCTCTCTCCCCCCCTCCCCCTTCCTCTCTGAAATCAATAAAAACACCCACAATAATAAAAGCAATATGCTAATTAGCCGAGAGGACCTTCCCCAGAAGCTGGGAGGGGAGCCGGTCTGGGGGACAGAGGGGAGGGGGGCAGCGGGGGGGGGGGGGAGGGGGGGGGAGGGGAGGGGAGGAGGCCTACTCTTGCATGGATTTCGCCTCTGACATTTAAAAAAAGAAAACGTTGCCAAAACCGGTTTGGCTCAGTGGATAGAGCGTCGGCCTGCGGACTGAGGGGTCCCGGGTTCGATTCCGGTCAAGGGCATGTACCTTGGTTGCGGTCTCATCCCCAGTAGGGGGTGTGCAGGAGGCAGCTGATTGATGTTTCTCTCTCATCGATGTTTCTAACTCTCTATCCCTCTCCCTTCCTCTCTGTAAAAAATCAATAAAATATATATATATATAAAGGAAACGTTTAAACCGAAGGCCAGGGCCCCGCACTGTGCGGCCCCACGTGTCAAGGAGCAACGGGCGCGCAGCGGATGGGGGTGCAGTGGGCCGGGATCGGGGGTCTCTCCCTAAGGGTCGCAAGGCCCGCAGGCGGGTGTCCGCGGGCTCCCTCCGCGCCCGGCCGCTGGGAGCCGCTGGGAGCCGCTGGGAGCCGCGGGGAGCCGCTGGGAGCCGCGGGGAGCTCCGCCCGGCGGAGGCGGAGGCGGTGGGCGCCGGGAAAGTCCCGGTCGGCGGCGGGCGGGGCGGCGGGGGAAGAAGCGGGCCCGCCTCCTGCGCTCCCAGGGCCGCCGCGGCGACCTCAGCGGCTCGGCGGACCCGGTGCCGGTGCCGGGGCCGGGGCCGGGCCCACCCTGAGCCGCCGCCGAGCCCGCGGCCGAGAGCCCGGGCCATGCGGCCGCCGCCGCTGTGGCCGCTGCTGCTGCTGCTGCACCTCCGCGCCGCGGCCCCGGCAGGTAGGCGGCCTCCCGGCCTCGCGGAGCAGCGCCGCGGCGGGCCCGGCGGGGGTGGCGGCGCGGGGAGCCGGGGGTCGGGCGGGGGCGCGGGGGATCGGGCGCGGGGAGCCGGGGGTCGGGCGCGGGGAGCCGGGGGTCGGGCGCGGGGAGCCGGGGATCGGGCGGGGGCGCGGGGAGCCGGGGGTCGGGCGCGGGGAGCCGGGGATCGGGCGCGGGGAGCCGGGGATCGGGCGGGGGGAGCCGGGGATCGGGCGCGGGGAGCCGGGGATCGGGCGGGGGGAGCCGGGGATCGGGCGCGGGGAGCCGGGGATCGGGCGCGGGGAGCCGGGGATCGGGCGCGGGGAGCCGGGGATCGGGCGCGGGGAGCCGGGGATCGGGCGCGGGGAGCCGGGGGGAGGGGGGGGGACCAGCCGCGGACGGGGGAGCCGAGGGCCGAGGCTGCGCAGCGCCTCCAGCCGCTCTAAGTGAACAAAGGAGGCCGGGGCTGGGCCGGGCTGGGCCGCCGGCCGCAGGGCTCGTCCTGGCTCTTCCCCAGCGACGCCCGGCCCGGCGGCCTCCCCGGGGCCCGAGTGGGAGGGGACCCAGGCCGCTGGCCGCGCGTCGGGAGTGGGTGTGAGGCCCGGATGGCCGCTGGCCCAGGGTCAGGTCGATGGGGCAGCTCCCCGAAATACCGGACCCCGAGTGGCGTTAGGTTGGGGTGGAGCAGCCTCCAGGCCTCGCCCTCACGGCCGCTGTAAGACCAGAGGGGGCAGCGGCAGGTGCGGGCGGGAGTGTGGGTTTTGCTGGTTCTTTCCCCGGAGAGGCGGGTGCCAGGGGGGCTCCACTCGGAAAGTCTGAAGGTCACTCTCTCGCCAGCAGCCCTCGCGAGGGCCTTGCATTCCGAGCCCGGAGCGGAGCCCTGCCCAGGACTGCCCGGGCCTCCTTCAGGGGAGGTTTGGGGTGGGCAGAATGCCGGGAATGAACCCATTCATGGAGCGGGGATGGGCCCCTGGCGGGGCCTGTGCGCCCAGAGGTGAGGGAGGTAGTGGAAGCGGCAGCCTGGCGTTGCAGTGATTGCAGAGTGACGCCCACACTTGTCCACGATTCACACGTGTCCTTTGGTAACCGTGAGGTTGTGCTATGGTCAGAGGGGGAAATAAGAGCAGCCCACGCCGGCGTGGCTCAGTGGATAGAGCGTAGGCCTGCGGACAGAAGGGTCCCGGGTTCCATTCCCGTCAAGGGCACAGGCCTGGGTTGTGGTCTCCATCCTCAGTGTGGGGCGTGCAGAAGGCAGCTGATCAATGATTCTCTTTCATCGTTGATGTTTCTCTCTCTCTCTTTCTCCCTCTCCCTTTCTCTCTGAAATCAATAAAAATATATATAAAAAATAAAAAAGAGAGTATTGGAAACACATTTTTTAAAGGGAGACTTATACTGTCTCCCCCTTGGAGTTGTTTTAGGGATAATGTATGTCAAATATTGGCCCCGACCCAATTTGTAGTGACCCTTTAAGTCAAGGGTGGGGAATGTCCAGCCCACGGGCCATAAAAGGCCCAAGAAACCGTCGGGTCTGGCCCTGCCAAAGCAACGGAAGGCGGGACTTGAAATGCAATAAATCTAGGAGGTTTTTTCAGAGCAACATAAACTTACATTGAGCCATTCTCTTAGCGAATGATGCTGTAAAAAAGCAAATGGCCCTTGGCAGAAAAAGGTCCCCACCCCCCTGTAAGTGGCGGCCAGTTGCTTTGGTTAGAAAACTAATGGACAGCATTAAATGCACTCGGTCAGCCGGGTCCTGAGTGAGGCGATTGCTACAGCGCTGCAGCAGTGAGGCTCTGTGTGCCCTGCCGGAGCGGCTGCCGAACTTCCCGTGGGTCGGACCGGGCCGGCCACGGACCTCCTGCCGGGACTTGCTGACTTGACTGTACAAAGCTCCCAATGCGCTCAGAAAGACGGTCGCTCCCCAGCGACAGAAAACCGTGGCGGATGGGTCCGCCCCAAGTCGCTCCCGGCGCCCACACTTTCCGCAGTGGAAACGCCTGGGGTGTCGGGGGCCACAGTAACCGATGGTGATGACCCCCATTGTGGGGCCGCTCTCCTGGGCAGCCAGGGCTGCGGCTGCACATACATCCTCTTTCTTAGTTTCCCAGCCCTTCTTTCGAAGCGGGCAGCAGCCCGTGTCCTCCCAAAGAGACCAAGCCGCCCTTTCTTGGAAGAGACCAGTGGTCTGCGCACATAAGCTGACCCCGGGGTCTGCTCCCGCGGGGACTCGGGCTTCATTCTGACCTCTGGCCTGCAGGGTGCTGGGGCGGGCTCACCGACGGTCATGATCGGTAGTCACCATGTGGCTCACGGATGTCAAGAGTCTGAAGGGTCTTCAGTTGTCAAGATTAAATAGTTTTAATGATCATTGTACTTTATTATCTGTGTGTGATGTGTGTTAAACTGAGCCCGGCCGGCGTGGCTCAGTGGTTGAGGGTCAACCTGTGAACCAGGAGGTCATGGTTTGATTCCCGGTCAGGACACAGGCCGGGTTGTGGGCTCGATCCCCAGTGAGGGGTGTGCAGGAGGCAGCCGATCAGTGACTCTCTCATCGATGTTTCTCTCTCTCTCCTTCCTCTCTGACATCAATACAAACATTTAAAAAACAAACCACTACTGTTGAGACCCAGGATAGCCTCTTTTTTTCTTTTTCTTTTATTTTTTTTTGGTTAATTCTCTTCAGAGGATATTTTTCCATTGATTTTTAGAGAGAAACTTTGACGTGAGAGCGAGACATCAGATGGTTGCCTCCCGCACGCGCCCTGACCCGGGACCCTTGGTGCCTGGGCCGCCAGCCGCGGCAGCCACCTCGGACTGGGGTGTGCTGACAGTGGGTGTGAGCCCAGATGGCCACTTTTCTAGGGTCAGAGCGATGGGGAAGGAGGCCACGCAGGCTGAACACAGGGATGAGGCGGGCCTGGGGCTGGGCCGGCGGGCGGTCAGTGAGACAGGCCCGTACTTCCCTGGAAACGCGCGCTCTCCTCTGAATGTGGTGAGGGGGTTACAAGGACCTGCACCCCAGGAGCAAAACTGGGTCCCTCCGCACCCCTCAGACGCAGCGGGGGAGAGCGGAGGCTCCCAGGGCCCTGGCCCCCTCTGCACCGCTGCCCCCTCACCCCCCCCCCACCCCCGGCCCCGGGCCTCCCCTCTTAGCTGAATGTCTAAATAGGGGCGTCGGGGCGCCAGGGGAAGCCGAGGGAGGGGCTGTCTGCTGGCTCCTCGGGCGGAGGGGGACAGGCAGAAGCATGGCGCCCGAGACGTCCGGGGACGGTTCCTCTCCAGGGCAAACGGGACTTCACAGATGTGGTCGCGTTAAAGGTCCCGGGAGGGGCGGACCTGGAGCGCTGGGCTCCCTGGGCCCCGTAGGCTCACAAGGGGTTTGGAAGGTGGGAGAGGGTGGCGAGCAGGGCCAGCCGGGTGGCAGCGCGTGGCTGGCACAGGGCGAGGCCCTTCCTCCCCGCGAACCCCAGCGGGAACCGGCCCCGCACCTCGCCCCGCGCGGCCTGCGTCAAGCCTCGGCCTCCAGAGCTGAGCGCACCGTCTGGGCGCTGGTGGCGATGTGTTTCAGCATCGATGGGAAAGGGGAGAGGCAGTACCCGGGGTCTGAGAGTCTGCGATGGGGGTGGGCTCGCCCCGCTGCTCAGCAGGGGTCACAGCAAGCGCGGTGGGGCGGGGCGGGGGGAGGGGGGGGCTGCCTGGAGGGCAGGAGGCCTGGTGTGAATTGGGACAGTGTAGCTGGTTCAGTCAGAGGAGGCTCTTAGCCATGGAGAGGAATGTGTAAACAGGAGGGCAGGGCCCTGGACGTTTGGCTCAGTGGATAGAGCATCAGCCTGGGGACTGAAGGGTTGTGGGGGGTGCAGGAGGCAGCTAATTCTCTCTCATCATTGAAGTTTCACTCTCTCTTCCTCTCCCTTCCTCTGAGGTCAATAAAAATATATCTATACTAATAGAAGGGTAATATGATAATTATACCGGGAGACCTTCCAGATGTCCTTCTGGACAAAGCCATGGTGGCCCGGCCAATGCAGAAGTGGTTGGGGGTGATCAGGTCAGCAGGGAGGAGGCAGTTGGAGGCAAGCAGGCTGGTGGGAGGAGGGTGTTTGGGGGCGATCAGGCCAGTGGTGGGGGCAGTTGGGGGCGATCAGGCCGGTGGTGGGGGCAGTTGGGGAAGAGAAGGCCAGCAGGCAAAGTGGTTAGGTGCGATCAGGCAGGCAGGCAGGTGAGCGGTTAGGAGCCAGCGGTCCCAGATTGCGAGAGGGCAGTCAGACATCCTCCAAGGGGTCCCAGATTGGAGAGGGTGCAGGCCGGACCCCCACTCTGTGCACAAATTTTAGTTTTTTAATAAAAGAAAGAGACGGAGGGGCGCTGGGAGGTTACCTGTGCGGTCACACTCGCAGGGACAGGCAGGCGTTCCGGGCCGGCCAGACTCCTAGCCCAGCGCCTGCGCGGAGGGCCGGCAGGCGGGAAGGCGGGAAGGCGGGAAGGCAGCCCGCACCCACTTCCCCGGGGACCGTGTCGGCGGTGCCATCTCTAGTCACAGTGGAGAGGGGCGGCCAGGGCGATCAGGCGATGCCGTTTCTGAGCTGGGACGAACCGGAGCTGTGTGAGCGCTTCCACGGTGTGCGTTTCAATGTTTGTGACTGATTTTCTCCTTTGCCTCCCTTCCTCCCCCTCTCGCTCCTCCTGTCCTGGGCCCCTTTCAAGACTCGCCCTCCCAGCTGCCTGCCCCTCGGAACCCGAAGATCTGGCTCTACAACACGGAGCAGGTCCTGAGCTGGGAGCCGGGGTCGCTGAGCCACGAGGTGGGGCCGGTGGTGTACCAGGTGCAGTTCAAATAGTAAGTGATGTTCCTGGGGGGCTGGGGGCCTGGGGGGGCTGCGGGCCCCGGGCCACCGCGTCTCGCCCCTGGGCAGGACTGTAAGCTGCCCTACCCGATGGTTAGGAAACATTGTATCCTAGGGCTCAACAAGGTTGCAGCAAGGGGCAGTCCCAGCTGACCTACTACTAGAAGTCCTTACCTTGAACATGGAAGTACACTTGTGGGTTGACCAAGTGAGTGCTTGTAAATATTAGGGGAAAAAAATAAATAAATAATATATATATATATATATATATATATATATATATATATACACACACACACACACACACACACACACACACACATACACACACACACACACACACCAGAGGCCCAGTGCACAAAAATTTGTGCACTCGGGGGGTCCCTCAGCCCGCCTGCACCCTCTTGGAGTCCGGAAGCCCTCAGGGGATGTCCGACTGACAGCTTAGGCCCACTCACCCTGGGGAATGGGCCTAAGCTGCAGTCTGGCCTCCCTCTGTGGGAGGCGACCTGTGGGCCAATTGGGGATGGCCAGCGAGTGGCTGGCCTGGGCCCCCCCCCCCCAATCACCCCTCTGCCACCTCTGGTCGTTGCCACCTCCTGATCGCCATCCCCTCCTTCTGTCCATTGGCACTTGCCTTGGCTGGCCTGGCATTGCCCGCTCACCAGCCCCGCCCCCCACCAACCAGTCATTCCACTGTTTGGTCGATTTGCATATTACGCTTTTATTATATAGGATTATCCTCACCGAGGATGTGTATTGATTTTTTTAGTTTTAGAGAGAGGGGAAGGGAGAGAAAGAGGAACATCGATATGAGAGAGAAATATCAATCAGTTGCTGCTTCCCGTACACACCCCAACTGGGATTAAACACGAAACTCGGTTATGTGCCCTGATGGGGAATCAAACCTGCAACCTTTTGGTGTACAGGATGCCGCTCCAGCCTGTGGAGCCACCTGGCCAGGGCTGTGAGAATATGTTCTAAGAGCTTCTGACAGTTGCCTGGTATAGACCACCGTGTCTCACCGTGCCTTCTTTTTGGAAAGCGTTTTGTAGGAAATCCTCAGATTACAGAGGCTGGTTTTGGAAACAGAAACAAAGGCGGGGATGATTGCGCAGGCCCCTGTTCGGAAAGCGAGGGGCCTCTAAAAACTCACCAGGCTGCTTCTTTGCTTATTTGTTTTTAATATGTTTGTATTGATTTCAGAGAGGAAGGGAGAGGGAGAGAAAGAGAGAAACATCAGTGATGAGAGAGAATCATTGATCGGCTGCCTCTTGCATGCTCCCTACTGCGGATCGAGACTACAACCCGGGCATGTGCCCTTGACCAGAATCAAACCCGGGACCCTTCAGTCCACAGGCCGGCGCTCTATCCACTGGGCCACACCTTCTAGGCTGCTTTTGTTTTCAGTTGCAAATTCAATGAAGAGAAAGGGCTTTGCTTTTCCTTTGTTTTAGATACTTTAACGTGTTTGGGATATTTCAGTTACACTAATAATTTAATTTTGAGGCCTTTCTATAATTATGAGCGGAAACCACCCACATGCCTGTCAAAAGATGAGTGGACCAACAAGACGTCGTGTGCTCCTACGAGGGGATGTCATTGGGCCATTATTCAGCCATTAGAAGGGCTGACATACTAACAAGTGCTGCAACATATGTCACGCTCGAAAACATGCTAAGTGTAACATGCTAAGTGAAAAGATGACACAGTGTATGACCCCATTTATAGGAAATGTCCGGAACAGGCGAGTCCGTAGAGACAGGAGTAGGTCGGTGGTTGCCTAGGGCCTGGGGCTGGGGAGATGGGGGTGACTGCTAACGGGCATCGGGCTCAGGGGGAGGTGAAACCTTCTGAGAGGGATGGTGCGCAGGTGGTCCACCCTGCTGGATACGTGGAAAGTCACTGAGTCACGCACTTTAAGCGGGAAAACGTACGGCCTGTGATCACATTCAGCCCCGAGGAGGGTTATGCGCCACCGAGAAGCGATTCTGGGACCTGAGCTCTGTCTGTCGTTCCAGCCCCAGCAGCCGTGAGTGGTCCGACGTCACTGTAAGCAGCGTCGGGGTGAACTGTTCGAAGATCTCGGTGACCGAGTGTGACTTCACCCCCACCAGCTTGTCCCGGGGTTTCCTGCGCTACTTCAACGTCTCCCTGCGCGTCCGGGCTGAGCTGCCGGGGCTGCCGGGGCACGCCTCCGCCTGGGCCTCGGTGCCCTGGTTCCAGCACTACCGCAACGGTGAGCCCGGGCTGCCCGTCAGCGGCCCCCTCGCGTCCCTCTCCACCAGGCTGTGTCTGGGTCCTGCCTCTCACCCTGAACCGCCAGCAGAGAGGCGGGCGCACGGCACACCCAGGTCCTGGCTGTGATGCGCAAACCTGGGCCTGGCCGCCCACCTGGTGCTCAGGGCCTGCGACTTGCTTAGGCCAGGGCCTGGCAAACTACTGCCCGCAGGCCAAGCCCGGCCCACCGCCTGTCTTTATAAATAAAGTTTTATTGCTCCGCAGCCACACTGGCTTCTAGCTGGCTGCCTTAGCTTCCTTAGCTGCATCAGCTGCATTAGCTGCCTTAGTTGCATCGGGACGTCTGGCCTGCAAAGCTGGGGTTTGCCCGGGCCTTTACTGAAAGGTGTGCTGGCCTCGTCCCATGGGTCCTGGCGTGTGGGCGGCTCGGTCTCCCTCCCCTGACCTGGCATAGCTTCCTTTATGTTCTAGAAAGACTTTAATTCTGCATGGGCCGTGGGGTCACCTCCTGTGGCTGCTCTGCCATCTGGTGGACACGGTGACGTCCATGCTGCCTGGTGTGTAGTCGCTCAGGACAGGGCCACTGCTGTCCACAGCCAGTCCGGTGGTCAGCGCTGAGCAAAGGCCCCGGGCCCTCAGGAGATGGCTTGTCAGTTGGTGTCAGAATCCAGGCCGGGGACGCCCCACAGAAGGGCAGGTCTTCGGGCGCAGACGTGGCAGCAATTAAGTGCTTGGTCAGGGCTGGTTCCCAGACCCCATGCCTCTCCCGTGGGTAAGTCATGGAAAAGTCTAGAGTCAGCGGTTCTCAACCTGTGGGTCGCGACCCCTTTGGAGGTCAAACGACCCTTTCACAGGGGTCGCCTAAGACCATCGGAAAACACATACATAATTACATATTGTTTTTGTGATGAATCACTATGCTTTAATTATGTTCAGTTTGTAACCATGAAATCGGGGGTCACCACAACATAAGGAACTGTATTAAAGGGTCAGGGCGTCAGGAAGGTTGAGAACCACTGGTCTAGAGACTGCCTTGCGGAGGTTGCCCGACAGCAGGGGCCCCAGCCATTGCTCTGAAAAAGGGAAGCTGGGGCCCGGTGGTATAGTTCAGCTGTTGAGCATCGACCCAGAACCAAGAGGTCACCAGTTCGATTCCCAGCCAGGGCACATGCCAGGGTTGTAGGCTTGATCCCCTGCAGGGGACATGCAGGAGGCAGCCGGTCCATGATATTTCTCTCCCATTGATGTTTCTATCTCTCCCTCTCCCTTCCCCTCTCTCTAAAATCAATAAAAAACATATTTAAAAAATAAACAAATAAAAATAAAAGGGAAGCTGGTGGCAGCACCTGTGAGCAGGGTCGGTGAGTGAGCTGTCGCCCGCAGCGGGCTGGCCCACCCTGGCCCTGACCCTGTCCCTATCCCTGTCCCGTCAGGATCAGCTCCTCCAGCAGAGCAGGTGCTCGGGGGCGCAGGGGAAGCCCGTAGGGACTGGTGACTCGGCATAGAGAGGAGGGTGCTGACCATACGCCCGACCCCCCCAGGGGAGCGCGTAGGGCAAGGGGAGTCGGGCCACTGTCATGAACACAGCCTCGCGCAGCACTGTGATCGTCTGCGTGTGTGATGTCTGCATGTGTGACATCAGCGTGTGTGTCTGCATGTGTGGTGTCTGCCTGTATGATGTCTGCATGTGTGACGTCTGCATAAGCAGCCTCTTTGAGCTTGGAGGGCCAGACCTGCACTGTTCCCAGAGTTCATTTGGTTAATTGTACATTTTATTTCTTGTTAATCCTCACCTGAGGATATTTTTTCCATCGTTTTTTCAGAGAGTTGGGGGTGGGGGGTGGGGAGAGAGAGAGAGAGAGACATCAGTCGGTTGCCTCCCACATGCACCCACAACCCAGGTGTGTGCCCTTGACTGGGAATCAAATCCCAAGGCCCTTTGGTGTGCCACCGAGGCCCTAATTACTGAGCAGCGCTGGCCAGATGGCACAGTTTAAATGCTTGCTTGATAGTGTTGTCATTCGTTTATAGCACCATGAGCCACAGCCTGGCTGGCCTGTGAAGTGCATGAAAAGCCTTGACAAGTAGACTTTGGTGGTAATATTGCTCAGTGATGATATTTCGGCATTGGATCCTGATAAGCTGGGAGACAGTGGATTTGAAGGCGCGTGCAGTTACATGTGCACGGTAGGGAAGGGCCACGAGGTCTTTTCCCGTCGCATGAAAATGACCTTGGTTAGCCTTCCTCTCGGCTTCTCTGTCTGCCAGGAACCTGGCGGGATCGCAGTGGGCAGTGTGGCCCTGGCTGGCACACCGCCTGTCAGCCGGAACGGCGCACAGTCCTGATCGGCAGCCGTGCCCCGGGCTCTGCTGAGCACAGTGGTTCTGGGAACTGGGCGGGAACTCCGGGCGGTATTCTTGTGGAGTGATGATAAGAGGTAGTGCTCTCGCCGGGTTGGCTCAGTGGATAGATAGGGCGTCAGCCTGAGGACTGAAGGGTCCTTGGGCTCAATTACCTTCAAGGGCACGTACCTCGGTTGCAGGCTGGATCCCCAGTCCCAGTCAGGGGCAGGAGGCAACCAATGGATGTGTCTCTCTCACACTGATGTTCCTCTCTCTGTCTTTCCCCCTCCCTTCCACTCGCTCTAAAAAATCAATGGAAGAATATCCGCGTGTGAGGATTAACAACAACAACAAAGTCTATCTCTATGTAAAAAGCCAGCTACCGTAATGACCAGAATGACACAGAACTGCACAGCCTTTCGCCCAGGCTGGCCCCGCCCCCCAGGGAGCGGTTAGGGCGCCCCTAGGCAACGCATAGGATGCGAGTTGGATGGGGGAAAGTTGAAATGGGGGGAAGGTCTTAAGGGTCTGGGGGTTGGGGTGGTCGGCCCGGTGTAGGTGTGGAATGTGCTGGGGAAGGAAGAGGAAGATCCGATTGGAAACGGCCCAGCACAGGACCTTTCTCACTGCGAACCAGGACGTGGACCGAATGGGCGGTTGTTTCACGAGTGCACTTGGGACCCACGTGTTCACGGCAGCAGCAGTGCCCCCGAAACTTCACTGATTCCAAGTAGCAAACAGCCATCAACGCCAAAACAGAAAAATCCTCTCCCGCTAGAGGCCCTGGACGTCGCAACACGACCGAAGGAAACGCCACTTAAGGAGGAGCTAGAGAAACCAGAAGTGTGCAAGCAGAGGATTGTGGGATTGTGGAGGCCGCCTGGGCGCCTAGAGGATTGTGGGATTGTGGAGGACGCCTGGGCGCCGAGAGGATTGTGGGATTGTGGGGGACGCCTGGGCGCCTAGAGGATTGTGGGATTGTGGGGGACGCCTGGGCGCCTAGAGGATTGTGGGATTGTGGAGGACGCCTGGGCGCCGAGAGGATTGTGGGATTGTGGGGGACGCCTGGGCGCCTAGAGGATTGTGGGATTGTGGGGGACGCCTGGGCGCCTAGAGGATTGTGGGATTGTGGAGGACGCCTGGGCGCCGAGAGGATTGTGGGATTGTGGGGGACGCCTGGGCGCCTAGAGGATTGTGGGATTGTGGGGGACGCCTGGGCGCCCACCGCTAGAATGTGAGCCTGTTACTGCGCATGTGCATAGTCCGCCCTATAGGCCTCAGTCTCGCCGTATTTGGATGTGACTTCTGGTGGGAAATTGTGTCGATGGAGGTTTGCTGTTGCCGTGTGGGGAGGAAGCTCAGAATTAAAGGTTTTGTTTGTTCCCTTGGTTTGAAGCGGAGGACAGGCCGCGAGTAGGACCGGCTCTAGGAGGACACGCACGCACCCCCAGGAGCACAGAGGAAGCGCATTGCAATCGAAGCCTTCAGTGAGACCACCCAGCTCGTGGAAGAGCGGGGCCGGACTCCAGGGAAGTGCAGCCAGGAGGACCTGGAGCGCTTGGCTGAGGGCAGTGAGAAGAGATGCGGAGGATCCTGCTGAGCTCAGAAGGGCGCAAGTCTCGCATCACCGGGATCCACGAGAGCCGCACGGAGCGGGAACAGGAGCTGCGCACACAGGCCTTGGACAACCGGGAGATCGATCAGCGCCTGAACAGCCTGGAGCCAGACCTCGTGCAGCTGTGCACGATCCGAGACCAGGACCTGGTATGGCTCAGGAAGGCGCCCGGCAGAAGAAAATCAACGAGTGCTCGGGAATCACAAAGGAGCCTGAAGCCCAGTCTGCACTGATGGAGGATGAGGGTGCCCTCCCCCACCGTGAGGGGCGAAGCTGGCATGTGGGCACGATCCACCGCACGCAGGACGAGGAAATGCTGGACGGCAGGCGGGAGGGGACCTTCCTCATCCCTGAGAGCAGCCTGCGGCCGCTGTGCCTGCCGGTGCGGGTGGACGGCGATGCCCAGCGCTGTGTCATCTACCGCTCGGCCGCTGGCTTGGGTTTTGCGAGCCCGACAGCCTGTACGGGTCTCTGCAGGAGCTGGTGTGGCATTACCAGCACCCCTCCCTTGTGCAACACAACGCGGCACTTACCGTCACACTGCACATCCCGTGCCCCCGCCCCCGCCCCCAGCCCGCTGACTCATACAGAGCAGGACTCCATCTTTCCATCTGTCTCTGTGAATCTTTCTCTGTCTCAGTCTCTCTCTTGCTTTCTCTGAGTCTCTCTTCCTGTCACGCTTTCTATCCCCATCTCTGTCCTCTCTGTCGCTCCTAGTCTGTGTACCTCTGAGTTTCTGTTAGAGGAGCATACCTCCTCCAACCCTGTAAATATTTATCTCCTTTCCACGTCCAGCGTGGCTAGAGAGCGGTTCGTTCCTGAGTAGGGGCTGCTGGGGATTGAGAAAATGAAAGAAAGAGACAGAAATAGAAGGAAAAAGCTGGGGCCGGGTGGGACAGCTGTCCTCTGATGGAGAGACAGTGACCCAGAGTCAAGACAACATTTTTATTTTATACAGCAAAATACCAGGAAGTTTTACTAAAGCCCAAGACAAAGGGGATTATGTGCATTCTTGTGGCTTCTTTGTAATCGTCACTCCTGGCTGAGTGTGGATAATTGTGTTTGTTCCTGGTGCTTGGCTGGATTTACCCACCCCCTGGCACCTGGGCTGAAGGTCAGGCTGACAACACACCTGCCTCTGGCAAGGTATGTTTCCAGGACGTGGCTATGCCAACGCCACTGGATTCAGCTGACAATAATTAAAGAAATGCTCATGTGCCTTCCCAGGCACTCTCTACACTCCCCATGCCCCCTGTCCTCATGGGCACTGCCCTCCCCTGGCTCTGGCTGCCCCCACCCGTTCCTACAGTTCCCCCAAGCTCCCCCTGCCTGTACCTGCCATATTTACAAAGGCCCCTGGGGTGCTCAGCCCAGCCTGGTGCCCTGATTTTTAAGCCATAGACCTGGGGTCAGGGCAGGAAGAAGGCAGGAAGGAACTTGGCTGGGCCACTTCCAAGAACCTCAGCTGTGACATTTGGGGCCAGCGGGCCCCGCCCCACAGACTCAACTTCTCCTCCCAACCCTGAAGTGAAACCCACCGGTTCCCCCCATGGAGCTGCTGCCCAGAACCCTCCTCCCCCAAAAGCAAAATGATTAAAAATAACCTCAAGGGCCGTAACCGGTGTGGCTCAGTGGATAGAGCATCGGCCTGCGGACTGAAGGGTCCCAGGTTCGATTCCGGACAAGGGCATGTACCTTGGTTGCGGGCACATCCCCAGTGGGGAGTGTGCAGGAGGCGGCTGATCGATGTTTCTCTCTCATCGATGTTTCTAACTCTCTATCCCTCTCCCTTCCTCCCTGTAAAGAATCAATAAAATATATTTTTTTAAAAAATAATAAAATAAAAATAACCTCAGGAGTGGGGCCTGCCTGACCCCCAGCTTCCCAGGAACCGAGGTGCTGCAGGGGCTGCCGGACCAGGCGAGAGCACCGCTGCCCACAGTACCTCCGCTCGACGCAGTCCCAGGCGTCCAGATCATTCTCCCTGATCGTGCCGGGTTCGATTTTGTTTCCTTGACTGTGAACCCATTTTCTCCTCTTTTGGGGCAAGAGCCCCGGTTTTCTATGCTGCCATGGACTCCCCTCCTGCCTGCCCAGCTAGGCTGGCCGGTGGGTTTTGTATGGTACGTTGATACTGATGTGGATATAAGACACTGAACCCAAAAAAGGAAAATGGGACAGTGACAAATAAGAAACCTTGGAGTCAGCGAAGGGCAGTTTGTCCAGACTGTTGAGAGCTGAGAATTAGAGTTTAATTGGGATAGAACTCCTGCTAACGGCACCTGCTGCCTGGAATCTGAGCTCTTCGCTTCTAGGTTTTCCAGTTCCAGTGTTTGGAGGCGGCCTATTAAACACTCCTGGCTGGAAAGTGTTTGTGCAGAAGCCATGAGTATTAAGTGTTTGCTGTGTTTACCAGGCTTAGCTCTCTGTAAGGAATGTTAAACGCCTCATGTTCTCAAGAAGCTTGACTTTTAAAATAAAAAATAAAGAATATAAATATTAAAAATAAAGAAGCAGCTTGAGTTTTAGTGGCAAAATCAGGCAGGGAGGCGGGCAGTTAGGGGTGATCAGGCAGGCAGGCGGGCAGTTAGCAGCTAGTGGTCCCGGGGACATGCCCTAAAAGGTTCCAGATTGCGAGAGGGTGCAGGGTGAGCTGAGGCCCCCTCCCCCCCCCCCACCTCCCCGTGCACAAATCTCGTGCACCGGGCCTCTAGTAATAAAAAGATGAGAGGTACTGGTTCTTGCGGCTTTTAAGCCAAGGAGGCTCATGGGCCTGCCCGACGTGGGTCTCGGCCGCTGGCACCTGAGTGTCTCCTGGGGGACCGGAGAGACTCGGTCTGGGCCGCCGTGTGGACGGCGCGGACCCCTCCCCTGGAGCTGCTCCCCGCCCTGCGGCCTCGCAGTGGGACTCGTGCCGGAGCAGCCTCCGGTGTCTCGTGAGCCCGAATGCTACCGTGTTGCATGTGTAAATGGCTGTGTGTGCGCGCACAGGCCATATGTATAACATTGAATACATGCACGCGTTACGTGTAATACAGTATGGCGTGTACACACTAACATAGTTTTGTTTCTGTTGGTAATTCTGTTTCAGTGACCATCGGGCCCCCAGGACACGTCTGGGTGACCCCCGGAGAAGGCTCCCTGGTCATCAAGCTGTCCGCGCCCTTCAACATCGCCGACCCCTCCATGGTTACGTTTCTGTATTACGTCCATTACTGGGAAAAGGCCAGAAACCCACAGGCAAGCGCATTTTTAAATGTTTTTATTTTCTTTGCTTGGAGTTTCTGATACAGGGAAAGGAAGTAGATGTTAAAATGGCAAGGACAGGTGTGGTCAGTGGATAGAGTGTTGGCCTGCAGATCATTCTGGGTTCGACTCTGGTCAAGGGCACATACCTGGGTTGCAGGCTCCTCCCCGGCCCAGGCCCTGGTCGGGGTGCATGCAGGAGGCAGCCAATCGATGTGTTTCTCTCGCATCGATGTTTCTCTCTCTCTTTCCCTCTCTCTTCCACTTTCTCTAAAAACCAGTGGGAAAATATCCTCAGGTGAGGATTAGAAAAGAAAATGGACGAGGACCGGCTGCCCTGGGTCTCCTTAGCCTGAGACCTGAGCCGGCTCTGCTCCGCCTCCTGCAGGCCTGTTTCTCCCCTCACTCGGGGGCTCCCTTCCACACTCCACTGGGGGTCCCTCTGTCCCACCACTCCCGTCCCGGGGCCCAGGCTTTGCCGACACAGGGCTTGTGGCGCCTCTGCCACGCTCTGGAGTTTGGAGAAGGTTCTAGTGGGTCAGTCTCTCCAAGGAATCCACCACGCCAGCCCAGGTTTAACGGTTTAAGTTCCTCTGGTTTGAACGGTTTGCGGAGAGGCGCCTGTGAGCAGGCGAGGAGTCCGCTGGGAGGAGAGAGCGGCCTGGGGAGGAGGGGCAGTAGGAGTGAGCAGGCGGGGCCCACTGGAGAACGGGACATGTGTGGACCCGTCAGAAGCTCACGTGACGAGGGATGGGGCAGGGATTCCGTGGACAGAGCGGTCGGACCGGAGGGCCTGGTCCCTGCTGGGCGGTGCAGGCGGAGAAGGACAGCTCTGTCATCTCACCCGGGGCCTGGCTGCCACGGTGCATGTAATGAGGTTCCTTGTCTGTGAACGTCACGGTTTCCTAGTTTCAACGTCACCACAATCTTACAGTTAGAGCCGGGTGGATCGAGCTTTCCTCGCGTCTGGCACGGGCAGGCGTCTTAGATGCATCATCTCATTTCACCTTCCCACTGACCTGCTGCACAGAGAGGAGCCAGAGGTTCGGGCTGCCCGGGGCCAGCCGCTCCCAGCCGCAGTGCAGGGCGCCCGCCGGCCTCGGGCCTGTTGCGGGGGGGCCGGGGGGGGGGCCAGCCGCTCCCAGCCGCAGTGCAGGGCGCCCGCCGGCCTCGGGCCTGTTGCGGGGGGGCCGGGGGGGGGGGCCAGCCGCTCCCAGCCGCAGTGCAGGGCGCCCGCCGGCCTTGGGCCTGTTGGGGGGGGGGGGGCAGCCGCTCCCAGCCGCAGTGCAGGGCGCCCGCCGGCCTCGGGCCTGTTGGGGGGGGGGGGGCCAGCCGCTCCCAGCCGCAGTGCAGGGCGCCCGCCGGCCTCGGGCCTGTTGGGGGGGGGGGGGCCAGCCGCTCCCAGCCGCAGTGCAGGGCGCCCGCCGGCCTCGGGCCTGTTGGGGGGGGGGGGCAGTCGCTCCCAGCCCCAGTGCAGGGCGCCCGCCGGCCTCGGGCCTGTTTGGGGGGGGCCGGGGGGGGCAGCCGCTCCCAGCCCCAGTGCAGGGCGCCCGCCGGCCTCGGGCCTGTTTGGGGGGGGCCGGGGGGGGCAGCCGCTCCCAGCCCCAGTGCAGGGCGCCCGCCGGCCTCGGGCCTGCTAGCATGCAGCTTTTCTCCCACGTCATTCACACTTGCCCTCCTCGTCCTGGCTTTGTGGTGCGCCTGACGTCACCGGGAGGCAAACCCCACTAAGAACAGGCTCGGGGCACACGGGGAAGCAGAAGGGCATCGTTACCCAGACCCGCGGTCAGGATCTGGCCCTGGGACCCAGAAGGCCTGGAAAAGCAGGCGGGAGAGGTGGTGCGGGAGCCGGGAGAGCGTGCCTCTCGCCGCAGTGGCTGCCGTCCTGCCCTTGCACTTGTCGTGCAGCTGGAGCCTCTGGCTGCCCTCCACGCATCGGGCCCTGCAGGCGAATTGCTGTGGGCACCGCGGGGCGGGCAGGGCTGCCCGTGCTGAGGACTCGGCCTGCAGGAACGCACACCAGGCTCCTGTGGCAGCGCCCACGCTCCCGCCCGCCACCTGCAGCAGGTCCGCCGCGGGCCTCTCGGGCTGCAGTTCCTCGGGTGTGGAGGGAAGCGGCTGCGTGGGAACCGGGAGCCACGCCCTCTCCCCCTCCAACCAGAGCACAAGGCTGGAGAGCTGAGAGGACCCCAAAGCCGCCAGCCCCTCCAGCCCGGCTGTGGGTCTGCTGGGGTCCCGAAGAGCTGCCCAGACCCGCTCGGGGGCTCCCGGGACCCGGCGCAGCTGTGCCCGGGCCATGATGCATCCCACACACGGCAGGGCCAGCAGGGGGAGCGGTGGCTGCCCTGCCCAGGGGGAAGCAGGCACAGCGTCCGGAGTCCTGTCCCCATAGGCTCACAGGACCCACTTAGTTCCTCGTCACAACCCGGGTGCCGGCGTGTGCAGTGTCTGCGGGGAAGCCCATGAGACCTGTGCCCAGGGTTTCTGGGGCTGGTGCTGTCGGCATCCTCTCCCTGGCACGTGCCAGAGCAGACCGCCGGCAGGAAGCAGCTGTCCAGCATGAAACCTTGTCCACGCCTCCCTGATCGGTGTGGGGTCGGGGCAGGGCGCACCGAGCACCAGCCAGGGCCAGCCATGTGGGCAGCAGGCCTGTCCTCGGGCAGCGGCCTCTGGCCTGAATGCCAGCTCTTCTCTGCACCCGTGGTTCTAAGTTTGAGAAACGCCAGCCTGGCTGCTGAAAGAACCCTAAAGGGATTCTGTCCTTGAAAGTGCTGTATGTGGCATCCGAAGCAGTTGCTCCCTTGTGCCCTGGCAGTCCATCAGCATTAACCTGAAGAAAATGGAATTAAAATCACCTGTCGCCCGACTCCTCCTAAATGATACCGTTACTTTGCATCTTTTAAAATGAGAGCGTGTCCTAGGCAAATGGAATAACCTGCTTTTTCAGTCAGCGCCATAGCGGCTCCTCTCCCGGGCCTGGGCCATGTCGCCCCCATTTCAGAGGCCGCCGTGCGTTCTGCCGTCTCAGCCAGAGGGCAGCCAGCGCCTGAAGGAGCCCCTGTGGCCACCAGGGCGTCCTGCGGAGCGGACAGCCTTGTCTGGGGCCAGGTGTGGGGGCCTGAGGGCGGCGGCCTGGGGGGCAGGGGCAGCAGCCAGAATCCTCTGAGACGGGGTCCAGCTGTTAGCCGGTTACATAAATAGCTAAGGTCATTTTCACCAAAACTACAAGAGATCAGCACGTTTTAGGTAAAACTGGATGCAGGTTGCAACTAAAGGCACATTTTTTCCCAGAATGGTTTTTTCTCTGTGACTAACTCAGAGTATCCAGTTAGATTAACCACCGGCTACAGAATGCCCCCTTTAAAGGAGAAAATGGCGTTCCGGGAACTGGGAAGCTCCCGTGTGGACCCCCGTTGCTGAGTTTGTGAGTCTTCGATGGGCCTGGAGGCCTCGCGGTCTGAAGCAGCCCCGAAGCCGGGGCACCTGTCCTCAGGCCCGGGCGCTGTCACAGGGAGCTGTGCGCCTCTCGGCGAATGGCCGGCTGACTCCACACCTGCCCACGTGTCTCTGCCAGCTCCTGCCAGGGGCGGGGTGCCCCACCTCCCGAGACGCTAAAGGACGGTTAGAGCGTTCTCTGCGCCAGACTAACACCAGCTCTTTGCTCGCTGAGCTTCACAAAAGAAGTGGTGTCTTGTAGACGGATAACGGGCTATCTAAAGCCAGAACACCTGGGTTTTCAAGCCGCAGTGTCATATAAACAAACATCTAAATATCAACTCGTGATAAACACAACTCCACACATCATTTGCTTTTTATCATCTTAACTTGGAAATTGAAAAATAAGAAGAATGTAGAGTTAAAACATTCTCCTTGGGATAGTGTACTTGAGTCAACTTATAACGTAAAACGTTTTTTATCAAATTTGCTCTTAAAAATCTCTTAAATTGCTCACAAAGTAAAATCCCAATAAAGCTGATTTTACCTCCAAAAAAAAACCAGCCTGCCCCCTGCCGGCCGGGGAGCGCTCAGAACCACACGCCTTGCTTTTCGGCGTCCTCACCATGAGGTTAAGGCACGACCCAGCAGGGGACCATGGCTGCCCGTCTGTCGGGGGGCTCACTGGGTTGTCGGGCTCCTCCGCAGGTGAAAGGCCCCTTCAGGGACAGCTCCATCGTGCTGCGGGACCTGCAGCCCCTGAGCGAGTACTGCCTCCAGGTCCAGGCCCACCTGCTCTGGAAGTCCCAGGACCTCAGCAGGCTCGGGCGCTTAAGCAACGTGTCTTGTCACGTGACATCAGCAGACGGTAAGGTGTGCCTTCGGTGCTCTTTCTGAGCTGTGAAAAGGATGCCCCTAAAATAGTGAAATTGGGGGGCACAGATTAGGGGAAGGCGATAGTAGGGGGAGAGCCAGGTGCTGAGGGCTGTCAGCAGCCACGCCCCGGCCTTGGCTTGGCTTGGGGCTGCCTCAGTAGCTACTGAATGAGCATGTGGGGCGGGGAGGGCCCCTGGGACAGGGACTTGTGGGCAGGAGAAGATGACCCCATGTTTGTGTCCCGGGGCCGGTCCTCTCGTCACCGCGTGTCCTCTTCAGCCTCCACCAAGCTGCAGCGAGTGGTCCTGGTTGCCGTGGCCACCTTCCTGTCGCTGGCCGGGCTGGCGGGCGCCTGCGTCTTCCTGATCCTGAGGTTCCGGGGCCTGATCAAGTACTGGTTCCACTCCCCGCCCGGCATCCCGGCGCAGATAGAAGAGGTACGTGCGCGCACGCCGTGGGAGGCATGACGGGTGGGGACGACCAGGAACAGAGATGAGAGAAGAGGTGCAGGCTCTGTACCCTGCCAGCAGCCTATTCATAACAGCCCCGGGGGGGAGGGGGTGTAAACACGTGACACGCACACAATAGAACACTGCTCCGCCTTGAAGAGCTCTGAGCCCGCTGCGGCCTGGACGGGCCTGGAGGGCATCGGGCCAGTGAGCTGAGCCAGCCAGTCACAGAAAGACGAAAACCACGTGACTCCTGGCGTGAGGCACTTCAGGTCCTCACATTCACAGACAGTGGAGAAGAGTGGGTGCCAGGGCTGGGAGGGGGATGGCGAGATCGTGTTCAGTGGGGACAGCGTGTCTGTTTTGTAAAATGGAAGTTATTGACATGGAGGGGAGCGGTGGTTGCACAACAATGTCAGTGTACGTTGCACAACAATGTCAGTGTACTCGACACTGCTAAGCTATACGCTTAAAGATGATGCGGTGATCGCTTTTATGTCTTGTGTATATTACCACAATTTAAAAAAACTTAATGGCACCGGGTCAGCCAAAACGGCGACCTGGCCAAGAGTTGGAGGCAGGAGGGCCTTCTCTCAGGCAATACAGCGCCCTGTGCTTTCTGGGGGACGCTGGGGAGCCTGGCTGGGATGGGAGCAGCAGGGACAGAAGTCGAGGAAGGAGCGTGCGTTTCGGGGCAGACGTGTTGCACTGGGGGTTTTCCTAGAGTGAACGCACCCAGAGCTGTGAGCACAAGGCTTTGCACACCAGGCTCAGGGGTGTTACTAGTATGGCAAAGGCCTGCAACAGAAAGGCTGGGGGCCCTTGAGGAAATCTTGTTTCCCTGCACAGCCCCAGCCCCTGAGGCTCTGGGAGGCGGCCGGGCCCTCTGAGGTCAGTTGGGACGTGTAGGGTAGAAGCTGATGGAATACGTCCGAGTATTTGCTTCCGGGCGGCCAGCGAGCCTGCTCTCCCGTCGCCGACCGAGAGGTCCCGCGTGCTCCTTCGCTGGGAACCAGTCCGCGACCTGCTAGGCCAGTGACGGCGAACCTTCTGAGCTCGGCGTGTCAGCATTTTGAAAAACCCTAACTTAACTCTGGTGCCGTGTCACATAGAGAAATTTTTTGATCTTTGCAACCACAGTAAAACAAAGACTTATATTTTTGATATTTATTTTATATATTTAAATGCCATTGAACAAAGAAAAATCAACCAAAAGAATGAGTTTGCTTGTCACCTCTGACACGCGTGTCTTAGGTTCGCCATCACTGTGTTAGGATGAGTCCCCACAACGGGCCCAGTGCAGCGGGCGGCCCGGCTTGTCCTGAGAGAGACCCCCCTGGTCACCTTCAGGGTCTGACCGGTCAGAGCGGCCAGGCGGGCGCGGGCGAGTGGTGCTCAGGGTTTGGAAGTGGTTCCTCGGGGACAGAATAGAAGTGAACCTGAGGAACTTGCAACGGTGCCGACTAAGACTAGAGCCCAAGGTCTGGGGGTTCGAGCTGGTAAACTCATTACGGTGTCGTGTCCCCCTCTCCCAGTATTTAAAGGACCCGGCTCAGCACATGCTGGAGGCCCTGGACCAGGAAAGCCCGGCCGAGGACGATGCCTGGGAATCGGTGTCTGAAGTCTCGTCTTCAGAGCAGGAGCAGAGGGCGCTCTCCAGAGCAGAGGGCGCTCCCGCAACACTTTGACCCAAAGCGCTGTCGGCCCAGCCTGCGGGAGCTGGAGCGGGACCCCGAGCCCACGCCACCCGGCCTGCGGGAGCTGGAGCGGGACCCCGAGCCACGCCACCCGGCCTGCGGGAACTGGAGTGGGACCCCGAGCCCACGCCACCCGGCCTGCGGGAGCTGGAGCGGGACCCCGAGCCCACGCCACCCGGCCTGCGGGAGTGAGAGCGGGACCCCGAGCCACGCCACCCGGCCTGCGGGAGCTGGAGCGGGACCCCGAGCCCACGCCACCCGGCCTGCGGGAGCTGGAGCGGGACCCCGCGCCCCGCCACCCCGCCTGCGGGAGCTGGAGCGGGACCCCGAGCCCACGCCACCCGGCCTGCGGGAGCTGGAGCGGGACCCCGAGCCACGCCACCCGGCCTGCGGGAGCTGGAGCGGGACCCCGAGCCCACGCCACCCGGCCTGCGGGAGCTGGAGCGGGACCCCGAGCCCCCGCCCCCCGGCCGGCGGGAGCTGGAGCGGGACCCCGAGCCCACGCCACCCGGCCTGCGGGAGTGAGAGCGGGACCCCGAGCCACGCCACCCGGCCTGCGGGAGCTGGAGCGGGACCCCGAGCCCACGCCACCCGGCCTGCGGGAGCGGGAGCGGGACCCCGAGCCCACGCCACCCGGCTTGTGGTAGCTGTTGCGGGACCCCGAGCCACGCCACCCGGCCTGCGGGAGCTGGAGCGGGACCCCGAGCCCACTCCACCCGGCCTGCAGGAGCTGGAGTGGGACCCCGAGCCACGCCACCCGGCCTGCGGGAGTGAGAGCGGGACCGAGCCCAGCCGCTCACCTGCTCCTGTCAGGACTTGCCAAGCCCAGGACTCCAAGTCCCCACTGTGGACAGGGCCATCGGCCGGGGGGTACAAGTGTGCCTTGTTGAAGACACGTTTACTTTTTTAAGAATTTTCTAATCGTACGATTTTACCAATGATTCTACAGAGATATCCCCCAAAAATGGTTTCTCTTAAACACTAAAAAGGCCTGTCATTCGTTGTTGGCAAGTGGCCCTGGCGCTCTGGGGAGCTCCCCCGTCGGACCCGCAGGCAGGAGCCGGGCCGCTCCTGGACGCCACGGGTCCCGTCGCCTGTCCGTCACCGCCCCGCTGGCCCAGCAGGGACCCCGAGTGCCTTCACAGCCAGTCCCCGGCTTAAAGTGGAATTAATCCTGTAAATATTTTCCTAGTAACTTAAGGGTTTTTTTCAACCTCGAAATAAAAGACTGTATAGTTAACGTTTTAAAAAGTCTATGTGAGCGTTCCTGCTCCACGTTGCCTTCTTATTTTGGCCTATTTTCTGAGTTTCACGCTTTTAAATAACCGCACCTGGACTTCGGTCTCCAAGCACACCCAGCAGAGTGGCGAGAACTCCACGTGGGCCGCTGGGTTCCTTGAAAGGTGTAACGGGCCTTTCAGAAGCTGTGTCACCTCCGTTTCATGTGATGGTCATGTGGGCTGACCACGGTGGGCTGTGGGCAGCAGGGAGAACCGGCTGGTGGCAGTGCCCGTGCCGCGGGCACGCGCGTCTCCTGACTGTGGGAGTGCTGACGGCTCCGTGGCTCCGGGCACATGGGTTAAACTCGTTCCTATGACTCAGCGTTTAGGAGGTGGATGTGTAGCTTCGCACACACCCCACCCGCACACACCACACACACACACACACACATACACAGCGACACAGGTGCGGTAAAGTCTGCTTTAGAAAGACGCCCTCCTGGCCGCCTGACCTTGACAATGGAAGACAGCGACTTAGGAACAGGAAGCTTCTAGCACAGGGGTGGGCAAACTTTTTGACTCGAGGGCCACAATGGGTTCCTAAACTGGACCGGAGGCCGGAACAAAAGCATGGATGGAGTGTTTGTGTGAACTAATATACATTCAAAGTAAACATCATTACATAAAAGGGTACGGTCTTTTTTTTTTTTTTAGTTTTATTCATTTCAAATGGCCGGATGCGGGCAGTAGTTTGCCCATGGCTGTGAACTGATGGAGCCCCCCGCCCTCTCTCTCTGGGGGGGGTGGGGAGGGTCTGTCCTGCTGGTGAGGAATGGGCTCCTGGGCCGGCTTTCTGACTGAGCACAGTGTGTCCTGCCCTCCGGGTGACAGGAGGTAAAAGGACACCCACCCGCCACCTGCACTCAGGCCCTGTGAGCACCTACTCCATCTGTTGGGTGAAGAGTCAGAGGAAGGGCCTGCCTGGGATCATTCGAGGTGGAAGAGCTCCCCCTGCTGGGCGGGTGCAGTCCGCGGGGAGGCCCTGTAGGCAGCAGCAGGAGCCGGTTAAGAGTTCAAACCCCTGCCCTGGCCAGTTTGCTCAGTGGATAGAGCGTCGGCCTGTGGACTGAAGGGTTCAATTCCAGTCAAGGGCATGTACCTAGGTTGTAGTGTGGGAGGCAACCAATCGATGTGTCTCCTTCACATCAATGTTTTTCTCTCTGTCTCCCTCCCTCCCTCCCTCTCTCTCTCAAAAAAAAAAAAATCAATTGAAAAAATGTTGGGTCAGGATTAACAATAAATAACTAGTTCGAGTCCAGCAGGAGGAGGCAGATCAGTTCTGCAGGAAGCTAGGAGTGACGTTTGAAGTAAGCTCACACGTGCCCCCCTATGTAAAAGCGGGTACAGCTTGGCAGGGGCAGGGGCAGGCGGCGGGCCCTGGGGACGGATGCTGACCAGGCTGGACCGTGCCCGGGTGCATTCGGGCTTTGTCCGGGGCAGCAGGTCACCCAGAAAGGCCCTTCGGAGTCCAGGCAACGGTTTAACCTGGTGACAGAGCCCGAGCCCATGCCCAGCGGTGGGTCCAGGCGCCCACCCCCACCCCAGAGCCAGGCTCCCATGGCTACTGCCTCACGGGGGAGGGCACTCACCACACGGGGTCCCCAACACCCGACGTGCTGCCCCTGCAGCCCCTCCACCCCCCGAACCCAGTAACCACCATCTCCAGTGGGTGTGGGGCTGGCCTGTTAGACAGGAGAACACCATTTGATACCCTATCAGGCCTTTGATAGGAGGCGCCCACAGAAGACTTCACGGGGGAAATGTTTAACCTCGTCCAGCTCCTTGGCCAGGGCACACCTTCTGGAGGCTCGCAGGTCGAGAGCAGCAGGGAAATGCTTCCGGGAGACAGGCCTGAGCCGCCATCCGGCCTGGGCCGGGGCTGACCCTCTCCAGGTAAAAGTTCCCGCCTCCAGGCTGAGAGGGGAACGGGATGGAGAAGTTCTCGGTGAGTGTGAGCTGTCAGTGGAGCAGGAAAAGGACGTTAGGAGACGGGGTCCGAGGACGGAAGCCTGGGCCTCTTCCGTTTTGGTGCAGGGAGGCTCCTACTCGGTCTACGACAGCCTCAAGGACTGCATGGTCCCCTAAGACCACAGGACTCGCCCGAACTTTACGCAGTGCCTGGACCTTGTGCTGTCTGCGGACTCACACCCTCCACCAGCAACAGGCTGCCCGGCAGCAGCAAGGACTGCCCCCGGCAGGCTTAGCACGGGAACAGCATCCCCTACCACGGACTGTTTACAAACCTTCACTTTCGTTCCTGCTGGGGAAGGTGCCGGCCAGGTCCCTCACACTGGGGCACAGCCGGGGGGCCACCCACAGCCACGCCATGCGCTTTCCCTTCCCGCCACTCGCTGTATGTGCAGATCCTCAAACAAGTGCAGGAGGCCGGCCTCCGCTTTGGGGGCACCCATACTCCCAGGGCATCCACGCGCATCTAACGTCGGGGCCACCGCTCTGCACGGTAGGTGGACAGCCCGGGACTTCCCTGCGATGCCTCTCCCGGGGCTGCCTGGTCTCCTGGCTGCCTCACCGACGGTGAGCACGCAGACCAGGGAAACGCCGAGACAGCACCAACTCCGTGAGCAGCGAGAACAAGACCGAAGGGAGAGGTGTGCCCTTTGGTTTAAGGGGAAGGAAGCTACGTCTGAGGCACACGCTGGGCAGCAGGACGAGTGGATCCTAGAGCCTGGCCGATGCCCGCGAATTAGGGTGTGGAAAGAGGGTGGGTCACGGTCCAGAAGACGCCGCCAGGCTCAGAGGTCACCGCAGCTCGGCTCGCAGGAGGCCGGTGCTGGCCGGGCCAGGCTCCACGTGGATTAGTCCGTCCCCTCTGGGCCGGGCCAGCTCACGGGCCCAGCAGGGGCAGGTGGGGACTAGCCTCCCCCACACCCTTCTTCATAAAGAGAAACCGCTTCTCTGATGGGGTCCCCTCAATAACTGAAAAATAAACAGCAAACCAATTTGTATGGCTGTTTTCTCCAAGATTTAATAACATTAGGATGTGTGAGGAGCAATTATTGCAACAGGCGACACGAGAGGGGGAACAAGTAATTAGCCTGACAGTGTCGGCAGCAGGACAAACGCACTGACATGGTGAGAGCAACCACCAGGGAAGGCGGCCACAGGACACAGGGAGCCGGCTCAGCGCCAGCATCTCCCCGCACACATGGTCCAGGGAGAGGGGCGCCGAGGCCTGTAGGCGGCTCACCCACAGTGTCCGTCTGTGGAAGGCTGTGACATTCCCCGGAGGCAAAAGTGCAACACAGACCCGCAGGGCCAGGAGGCCACCGCAGCGGTCAGGGCCCGGGACCCCGGACTCCGGCAGGAAGACCAGGGCGGTGCTCCCAGCTTCGCGGACGGCTGTCTGGCGGGGCCATGGCGTCTCAGGACAGAGGCACCTGCAGGAAGCGCATGCCCAGAGCTGGAGCCGAGACAAAAGCCTAACTTCTCACCGGGCCGCAAGCATTCCCCTGGGGAGGAGGGACTTTGTCCTGAAACGCGTCCACGCTTGGCCTGCGGGTCATGCTTTTGAGCGCAGCTCCTCAGACTTGCTCGCTGCCGAGCCGCCCGCCGCCCTCCAGTCTTCACGGAACCACGCGAAAGCGAGCTCAGCACATCGGGGATCCCCTCCTCAATCAGAGTCAAGGATCATTTCCAAAACAGGCTTTCAAACTAGTCCTTCGGGCATTTAAAAATTCTTCATATAAAAATCCACTTCTTTAATACACAAGAACAAACATTTCCCTTAAAAAACCTCACTTTTAAGACAAAATAACAATTTGTTGAAACACCCTTTGAATGGCTTGGCACTTATTTCAGCTACACAGAGTTGTACTTTCTGGTACATCTTGGGGACTTTGAAGCAAAGCAGTTAACTCTAAATCGTATGCTGACACCCCTGACTCAGGACGCAGACCAAGCCTAAGCAGGAATGAAAGGCGGATGCTCACCATCTGTCTGCATACTCTTATATACATATTAACAATCTAGCCATTAAACAAACAGAAAACTCATCAAACTATTTCAAAACTCAGAGCATAAGAGTGCAAAGCAACACATTTAATGTGCAATCTATCCTATCTGACGATGTGAAAACTACATTAAAAGATAATAAAGACGTATCCACAAATAGGACATGGAGAGGAAATGAGGTTCCAGAGCGACCTCAGGTCCACAGCTCCTCAGTTCTCCCGAACTTGTAGATGAGCGTGCTGGAAGGAGATCAGAACAGGTCCTGAGGAAAGCGCCAGGACCAAGCAACAGAGCAGCCCAGCTCCCAGCCAGGTTCTGTGCACAACGTACGCAGTGTGCACGAGGTCCTTTTTAAATAAAGGTACTGCTCATGTTTTTGCTTGTTTGTTTTTTAAGAAAACAGGCTATGGAAGCAGCAACGTGGGGTCAGTGTCAGCTCTGCACCCCCCACTGGGCGTCCCTCCCCCAGCTCTGCACCCCCGCTGGGCGTCCCTCCCTCAGCTCTGCACCCCCGCTGGGCGTCCCTCTCCCAGCTCTGCACCCCCCGCTGGGCGTCCCTCCCCCAGCTCTGCACCCCCCCGCTGGGCGTCCCTCCCCCAGCTCTGCACCCCCTCGCTGGGCGTCCCTCCCCCAGCTCTGTACCCCCCCGCTGGGGGTCCCTCCCTCAGCTCTGGGCCTTGTTTCCTTGTCTATTAAATGCGAGCACCCCTGCTTTCTACGTTTAAGGTAACTAAATGAGAATAAAAAGAGGCCGGTACAAAGCCGCCAGCCGCGGCCCTGGCACACAGCGGCCTGGTTACGGGGCCTGCGCACGCTCTTCCATCGCAGGCGGCTCCCCTTCCACAGATGCCTGCACATGGTCCTAGCTTACGGGTTTGTGCGAGTCCACCGTCCACGCTGCCTTCCCGTATGGGAAAGGTGGCATTTCCGCAAATGTTCTCAGCGGGATTGAGAAACCAGGCCACTCACCTTAAGAATATCAGTGCGTTCTGGAAGAACACCGCCAGCCCCGGGTAAACGTCAGTATCTGCACAGAGGACAGCACACGGTCACACGGGCAGCGCGCAACTGTGCGCCCCTCACGTGACAGGCTCGGTGCACCCCCAACCTGCGACCACTCCCTCATCTAAGACGGCGATCACGAGACTGAAAGAAGAAAATGCTCATCTCACGCGCCCACACCCAAGGCCTGTCTCACTCCGGACGTTCCGCTCCAGCGCCGGTTCAGAAACACAAACACAAGGAGAAGACGCGGATGGAATTCCTGGTGACGCAACGGTCTGACCGCTGCTTTCCTCTCTCCATTCTGGAGTTTGTGTGCGGGTTCGGCAGGGAGAAAGGGCCACTGTAATTCCCCACCGCGTCTTCCCGGAGCACAGTCACTGTCCTCACGCGAAGAGAAGGGAGAGCTGGAAACTGCTTCCCTGCTGTGGGCGGCTGAGGTTCCTGAGCGACGATGCTGATGGAAGCACTGCACCGGGGAAGGCCCGGCCACACGGGCCTCTGACATCAGCAAGCATCGGAGCAGCGGGGCTGAGCGCCCAGGGCTGAGCCGCACCCTGGATGAGTCCCAGCTCTACCACCAAGTGCGTGACCACCAGCTGTAGCCTCCTCATGCCTTGGCTTCCCCTCTGCCAAATGGGCGTCGGGGCAGCGTGCAGCCAGGCGCGAGGGAGGTGGGGCCACGCAGTGCGAAGCGCAGGTCGGCCATGGTGCTGCTGCGATGGCAGTGGGTAGCGGTGTGAGGCAGCCTGCACAGCGACAGACTAGAAACGTGTGTCAGAAAGGAACGCTCGAGGTGCGAGCGCAGTCCGTTTAGAAGAGAAAGCGCGCGTAGTGAGCGATGCGGAGACAGAGGACGAGGCCGTGACCGAGGCTGCTCAGCACGTGCCAGTTCCTGGACAATCAGACACAACCAGGGAGCGCACAGCCCGCACTGGCGCGGACCTTCCTACACACTCCCGGGTCGTAACAGAACCGGGAGGTTCACATGCTGCTTTAAGTAGCCACGCAGGCTCTCCACGGAAGCCGGGCCCAGCCGCCGCGAGTCCGGGTCAGAGCTGACCGCGCTTCCCGCAGGACCCGTGACACCAGCAGGCAAAGCTGCACCGGAGCTGGGGGCGCTGCCGGGCCGGGGAGGGTGGCAGCAGGGACTGCTGGTGGGTCGGGGCTTGGTGGGGTGACAAGTTCTGCAGTGGAACTGGTGACGGAGCACAGCTCTGTGCTGTACACACGGAACTGTACGCTGGATGGTGAATCACATGGTGTGAAACTACAGCTCAGCAAAGCTGCTTTAAGATGCACTTTCCTCCCGGCGAGCTCACACAGCGCCGGCCCGTCAGTATCGGAATGAACTGAAGGACACATCTCGGACACGTCTGGGAGCAGTGTTATTGCAGCACAGTCCCCGCTGTCCCCTCGTGCTGCCCGACTCTGTGCCACGGGCTTGCCGGGGGCAGTGTCCTGGCCAGGCCACCCACTGCACTCCACGACCCCTGCTACTACACCTGCACAGTCTCCCAGCCGCAGGCCAGCGAGCAGTGAAACCAAGCTCGCTCCAGGGGGAGGAGCGGACTCGGCCGAGCGTAAGGACCCTCGCAGGCCTCCTGGGAAAGGGAGGAAGGCTTACTTACTCTGGGTCACATAGGCACCAAAGAGAATCCACATGGAAGCAATGAGTGACCCGAACATCAACATGAAGCCGATGAAGAGCCAGACGCGAGCACCTGCGTGGAGAACAGCCGCGTGAGCTCGCCCCCCCGCACTCGGTCCCAGGGAAACCTAACCCCGGGACGCCGCTGACCTCACACACGCTCTGCGGTCACACGTCACATGCTTACATGCACCTGCTCGACAGGTCACTGAAGGAAGATTTTTAAAAACTCAAAGGGCACGTTACCTTTCTCCTGGCTAGAGAAACTAACAGCTGAATGAACTAAACCAGGTAATAAACTCAGCCAAATAAGCTTTGTAATTATTCGACTGAGTTGATTAACTAAACCCTAACTGAAAATTTACCTGTTGTATACACTGTCAAAGTAATTGCTCTAGTAGAAGTAGCCATCGCCACGAAGGAGCGAGAGGCTGTGAGGAGGGACCGATGTTAAAATCCTGCCGTTACTCAGGGTGGTGCAACACGTGAGCAAGCCGGCCAAACCCTCAGCCCTCACTCCGTAAGCCCTCCCTCCGGGTGCAACACAGGAACACGCAGAACCCACCTGGCACGCTTCCACTGTGTGGGCAATGGTCATGGAATAAAACGCCATGACTCAGAGAGGGTGAAGTATGGACTGTGGGTCCAGAGAGATCCAAGGCTCACACAAGTCCTACCTTTAAGCTAAAGAACTGAGGTGCTGCAATGAAATTTTCCACAGAAAACAGTCACTAGTAACATGACCCACAGCAACGTCTGTCAAGTAAGTGAGGGTGGCCAGGAGGTGGGGGGAAGCATTAACCACAAAGGGCGATGGCAAAGTTCTACATCATGATGGCAGCAAAGTCACACAACTGTATACATCTGTCAAAACTCATCGAACTGGATACAGTGGGGCCTTGACTTACGAGTGTCCCGAATAACGAGTTTTTCGAGATAGGAGCCGTCTCTCGGCCGATTTTTTGCTTTGAGTTGCAAGCTAAAATTCGGGTTACGAGCCAGCTTCAGATACCCCACCGCTAGTTGGCGCAGCGAGCGTCACAGTGAACGCCACGACATCAGCCCAGCATCACATGTCTCACTCGTTCACTTTATGATCTGACATACGAGTAATCTGAGTTATAAGCTCCGTCACGGAACGAATTAAACTCGTAAGTCAAGGCTCCACTGTACTTTAAACTGGTGAGTTTTACTTTCTATAAATTATACTCAATCAAGCTGACAATATCCTATATAAAAGCCTAATATGCTAAATGTCTGGCCATTCACCCAGTTACTATAACGTGCACTGACCACCAGGGGGCAGACACTCCAACCAGTAGGTTGGCTTGCTGCTGGTGTCCGGCCCATCAGCACTGGGCTAGATGAACCGGACATGCCCTGGAGCCCTCTCACAGTCCCTTCCTGGCCCCAATTGTGCACCAGTGGGGTCCCTTGGCCTGGCCTGCACCCTCTAACAATCAGGGACCCCTCAGGGGATGTCAGAGAGCCAGTTTTGGCCCAATCCCCGCAGGCCAGGCTGAGGGACCCCACTGGTGCACGAATCCATGCACCAGGCCTCTCGTATATGACCACACCAGACACAGAGGCCAAATGCTCAACTGGAAACAGCTGTGTGGCGGCTGACAGCAGGGCTTAGAGCCAGGTGGTGAGAGTTCAAATCCGGACTCCCTCACTCACTTGCTTGTGAATTCAGACAAGTTATTGAAGCAGCCTGTGCCCTAGTCCCGTCATCTAAAAGTGGGGACAAGAGCACTTACCTCACGGGAACACGGGATGATTAAGTGAGGTAATGCGTGTAGCACTCAGGACAGTCTCGGGTCACACTAGGTGTCTGTAAGTAGTCCCTAATATTCATAAACATCTTCAAACCCACCTCCACTCCCAATTTCCAGCCATAACCGCACAAACCCTTCCATGTCCTGAGAGGTTGGAAATAGAGTTTCTAGCCCCGCCTTCTGCATAAAGCATGGAGATCCCACTGAAAACAGACCCCGTGGTGCTAGCAGATGTGTTAGAACCTGAGTAAAAGAAAAAGACCACTGGTGACAGTTCAAAAGAATTCAAACTCCAGAAAAATGCTTCAGCAGCACACCAACAGCACACGCTTGAAGCAATGCTGCAGGGGGTGTGGTTACGGGTAATCAGAACAGAACTCGAAAACACAAACCCTGGCCTCATCTCCTGACTGCCACACTCTGCCTGGTCGGCGTCTCGGGCAGCATCACTGGCCGGCGCTGGTGAGAACGGCATCACCAGCCGAGGAAGTGATCCGAGTGACCACCCGCTGGCTGTGCAGTCACGTTTGTCTCCATCCATACGCAGTCACATGACACACAGTAACTCTGGCGTTCGGTAGCCTCCCCTTTCCTAAGGACTTAGGACGGTAACCTCCACAAGCTGCACAAGCCTCTGCCGGCCCCCGGCCCCCCACCCCCCGCCCGGCACTAGAGGCTTTGCTCCGTCTGCTGGGACGGCCCCTCGCCTTTACCTGTTCTCCCCAAACAGCCGCTCTCGTAGCTGTCACCTCTCACCTGGGCATTGGACACCGCGTTTATCCTGAAACGAGACAAAATCCCCCAAGAAGCTTTCTCGGTGCTAAACACTCACCGATGCTTACATATCATTGGGAGGAAAACACTCCTAAGTAACGTCAGTATCTGAATAACCGAACGCACCCTTCACCTAGCACCCTAGCGTACACAGAGGTTCTACGCGTCTTACTTTCCCAAGCACACCCCAAAGCACCCGTAACTTGAAGAGATGACTGTGACTGGTCCCCAGGATGACCATTTTTTGGATTCTCTGCCTGGCTTACATTTACCCTGATGCCTCAGGGTGCAACACCCCATTTAAGGTTCTTGTTATAATAAAGAGTTTCAAGTGGTGGTTGGGGGAGGGGCGGGGAGGGGAGTTTGGGGGATAAATAGTAATGGAAATTAAAATAAAGAGAAAATATTTAAAAAAGAGTTTCAAGGTCTCCCTTGGCGTTGAGTGACGTTCCCTGCCCGTTTCTAACACTGAGCAAACACGTGGTCCGGGGATAGGACACAGCCGCTGGACTCCGCTCCTGTGAGAGCCAGTGCGGCTGCAGCAGAAGTGGCCTCTTCTCCGCATCTGAACGGACGGGGGCATTCTTCTACAATCAAACTTCAAAACACTCCCGACAGTATAAGGCAATTCTGTAACCTTCATGTTTAACATTTTTAATTACTAAAAGACACCCATTTAAAGCTTTCAAATTCTTTTATGAAGTGAAATAACGGATAAACCTGAAAATGATTTAATAAAAAAGAAAAGCCATTTCTTTCTCATTTGAGACCAATCCTGCCCCACCCCACCCCCAATACTGGCAAACACAGTCAAGCAACACATTTAAAAAAATAATCCTCCATGGTGAAAGTTGAGTGCATGACAATACTTAAGGATGATTCACTAAAAATCTAGAAATGTAACATATTTCATTAATTCTGCGATGCCTTGATTTTTAAAATTCACCATTACTTTTTTTTTTAAAATATATTTTATTGATTTTTTACAGAGAGGAAGGGAGAGAGATAGAGAGTTAGAAACATCGACGAGAGAGAAGAATCAATCAGCTGCCTCCTGCACATCTCCCACTGGGGATGTGCCCGCAACCAAGGTACATGCCCCTGACCGGAATCGAACCCGGGACCCTTCAGTCCGCAGGCTGATGCTCCATCCACTGAGCCAAACCGGTTTCGGCTCACCATTACTTTTTAAACTGCCAAGAAAAACTGTTATCAACTGTAATTATAAGACACCACTGACTATAAAAGCACCCTAAGCTCTGGCTGGTGTGGCTCAGTGGTAGAGCACTGGCCCACACACCAAAGGGTTGAGGTTCAATTCCTGGTCAAGGGCATTTACCTAGGTTGCAGGTTCATTCCCTATCCCTGGCTGGGGTGTGTGTGGGAGGCAATTAATCAATGTTTCTCTCTCTCTCCCCCTCTCTCCCTTCTACTCTCTCTAAAAAAAAAAAATCAATGGAAAAAGTATCCTCGGGTGAGGATTAACAACAACCAAAAACAGCACCCTGATATTCAGAGGTATTAAAATATAAAAAAATAACCTTGGTACTGATAGAATAATCAGTTTAACAAATATAAGGAGAAAAATCACATGACAATCGTTACAGATGCTAAAATGATACCTGACTAACTCAGCACTCATTTTTCATTTTAACATGGGAATGTATTTATTTATTTAGCAGTTAATGAAGAATCCATCAGGGAGCATTTGAGGTCTTGGTCCCCAGCATATGTCACCAGTTTGACTTATATAAACTCTTATATAAATTCTCAAAAAAAGACTCCATCCATTAAACTCAAGCGTCATTTCAGATAGTGGACAGCACTGAACCTTAGGGAAACATCTTCTCAGGAAGACAGCCCTGAGCTGAGCGGGCCCTGCCTTACATGAAGAAGGCCAGTGTGGAGAACACCCCGCAGGTGTGGAAGGCGGGGTTCAGCTGCTCGGGCTTCGCGTACACCACGGCCGCGTCGATCATCACCCACCAGCCTGCGGAGAACTGGAGACAGAGCCCAGTCACTGGGGAGCACTCGTGCCTGCCCCTTGCCCCCCACTTCACTACCCACCATGACAATGGCATAGGAAGACTCTCTGCTTCACTACCCACCATGACAATGGCATAGGAAGTCTCTCTGCTTCACTACCCACCATGACAATGGCATAGGAAGTCTCTCTGCTTCGAGTTTTGGACGTTGGAAAATAAATAAGAACCCTGTTTACTTATTCCTGTGAGTGAGCCTAACTGACGAAATCGGTGCAAGATGAAAAGCTGTCACTTGGGATGAACTGTCTAACCTTTTCACCCGCTGTCATCACTCGCCACCAACGCTCTAACTAACCTCAACCAACCCGCTTCCTGATGACCATGTTTCACCCGCTGAACCGTCCTCGCTTAACATGCCCACGCCTTCTGCTTCCACCAATGAGCTGTCAGCTGTCATGTCTCCAAAATGATGTAACCTACTACAGTACTAGTTAACAATCTGATTAAATCCTGTTTAACTGACTGAAGTTTGTCAAAAGCAACGCTTCTATGTAAACTAGGCTGAATGGACTTAAATTAGACAAGCTGTCAATGAATTTCATAGACAAACTGAGTGCAGACGAGATGACCATAAAAAGCAAGAAAGACTTAGAAACACCTGAAAGAATTCTGCTTCCCAATTATCTTTAGTTCCTGTTGTGATTTTTTTCCTATTGGACTTCAGGCAGAGAACTATATACTGAAAGAGATGAATTTTTTCAAATGTAATAGAAACTGAAATTTGTTTTTAAAAATGGAGTTGGGACCAGGAGTGGTTGGTGGAATGCTAAAGAAAAATTGGTCATGATTTGATTTTTTTTTTTTGGAAGCTGGATGGTAAGTAAATGGGGTAAGATGGGAGAGGGGCTCTTTATACCAGTCTCTATTTTTGTTTATATGCTTGACATTCTCAGCAATAAAAAGTTAGAAGTGTTGGGAAGAAACGGAAGTAAGCAGATCTCTCTCGCTCCCCTGCTCTCTCCAGCGCTGCAGCTGGGAAGAGCCTGGGGTCCTGCCTGGGGCCCTCCCGCTTCAGCTCCAGGAGCTGAGGCCGTCACTGGGCCCACACAGCCCGAACTCCGCGCCTCACAGCAGTAACACTGGCTGCATCCAATGCTGAGCCTCTGAGGGCCTTAAAGACTCACACGGCAACTTAAAATGCCACTGCCCACAATAACTGTATTGTCAACAAAACGGAAACTTACAAGTCAAATGAACCCAGGACTTACCACACTTTGCTCAGTAACAGCATCCAGAACTGTGATCACTGTTTACACAAACAGCAGTGAAACAAATAGCTCTGAGTGGGTAGTCACGGTTCAAAGGATCAGCATTAACGTTCGGGCGAAAAATGAGGCGTAAATGTGGCCGATGGGCTTTCACTCACCAAGACGCCTGCGACCACAGAGGCCACGGCATTCCTCCGCTCGCTCCAGTCGATGCACTCCCACTCCGGCCAGCGGACGTTATCCAGGAAGCCTGCCATGGCGGCCCCGCAGGCCCGGGCTGGTCATTAATGCTGTGCCCTACAAATAAGAAGACAAAACCACAGAGCAAATGCGTTAAGAAGTGGCGTGTCTTACACAATGTCCTCTTTTAAAGCTTGAAAACACATTTACCACAAATCCACCACAGTCAGGAAAAAACGTCAGTACTTCAACGAGTACCTGCCGAGATGCACACAGGCGCCTGCTAGCACTGTGCCAGGCCAGGGCTCACTACTTGCTGACTGAGCATGTGGTTTGACAACACGTCTGCAAATGCTGTGACGCCTCCCATTCCAAGTGATAAAAGAGCAAGGGCCTACAACCAACCTCACTCTACCCAGCAAAGCTCCCATTTAGAATTGAAGGGCAGAAAAGGAGCTTCCCAGAAAAGAAAAAGCTAAAAGGGTTCATCACCACCAAACCAGTATTACATGAAATGTTAAAGGGTCTTCCTGCCGAACCAGTTTGGCTCAGTGGATATAGCATCGGCCTGCGGACTCAAGGGTCCCAGGTTCGATTCCGGTCAAGGGCATGTACCTTGGTTGCGGGCACATCCTCACTGGGGGGCGTGCAGGAGGCAGCTGATCGATGTTTCTCTCTCTCATCGATGTTTCTAACTCTCTATCCCTCTCCCTTCTTCTCTGTAAAAAATCAAAATATATTTTTTTTAAAAAAAGGGTCTTCCTTAAGAAGAAAAAGGTAAAAAATATGAACAATAAAATGGCAATAAATACTACCTATCAACAACTGAATCTCAAAAACAAGCAGAACAGAAACAGGCTCACAGATACAGAGAACATTTGACGGTTGCCAGATGGGCCAGGTGTTGGGAGGCTAAGTGGGAAAAAAAAAAAAAAGGTGAAGGGATTAAGAAGTAGAAATTGGTTGTTACAGAATAGTCCTGGGGGTGTAACAGCACAGGGAATAGCGTCACTAATTCTATATAATAAAAGCCTAATATGCTAAGTGTCCAGTCGTCTATTCAACCAATCAAAGCATAATATGCTAATGAATGCTAAGGCTGCTCAACCACTCACTATGACGTGCACTGACCACCAGGGGGCAGACAGTCGACTGGTCATCCAGTCGCTATGATGTGCACTGACCACCAGGAGGCAGATGATCTGACTGGTAGGTTAGCTTGCTGCTGGGGTCCAGCCGATTGGTACTGAGTGAGACAGACCAGACATGCCCTGGAGCCCTCCTGCAGTCCCTCCCTGGCTGGCCAACCTCCCGCATCCCTCTCCAGCTCTGATCATGCACCGGTGGGGTCCCTCAGCCTGGCCTGCGCCCTCTTGCAATCCGGGACCCCTCAGGGGATGTTAGAGAGCCGGTTTCAGCCGAACGGCAGAACAACTGGTCACTATGACACGCACTGACCACCAGGGGGCAGATGCTCAATGCAGGAGCTGCCCCCTGGTGGTCAGTGCACTCCCACAGGGGGAGCACCACTCAGCCAGAAGCCAGGCTGACGCTGGTGAGCGCAGCAGCGGTGGCAAAAGCCTCTTCTGCCTCCACGGCAGCTCTAAGGATGCCTGACTGCCCCCGAAGGCTCCCTGACTACGAGAGGGCGCAGGCCGGGCTGAGGGACTCGTCCCCCACCCCCCGAGTGCACAAATTTCATGCACCGGGCCTCTAGTGCTGTAATAACTATGTGTGGTGCCAGATGGATGCGAGATTTATCAGGATGATCACGTAGTAAGTGCCATAATATCTAATCACTGCGGTATAACCTGAAACTAATATGTCAACTGTAATTGAAAAATAAAATATTACTTAAATAGAAAAAAAAGACTTGAAATGGGCAAAGACTTAAAAAGTCAATTACCAAAGCATATAAAAAGGTATTTAACATCATTGGTTATCAGGGAAATACAAATGAATGGAATACCACACCTTCACTAGAATGGCTACAATGTAAAAGATGACACTAAATGTTAGCAAGAATGTAGACCTGGAAATCCCATACATTTCTGCTGGCTGTTTCTTATCTACACTAATAAAAGAGAAAGATGCAAATTAACCATCACTCCATCACTTTGTCACTCTGCTACACTCACAAGCCACACCCACCAGCCAATCAGGAGCAAATATGCAAATTAACCCAACTAAGATGGTGGCGGCCACGGAGCTGAAGCGAGCAGGAGGCTTGGGTTGCCCCCGGCGATGGAGGAAGCCAAGCTTCCCCCCTGCCCTGGCCAGCCCTGGGCTCCGCTCAAGGCTACAAAGCTTCAATTATAGAAGATAAATAAATCCCAGAGCTCAAGGAGGCCCTGGAAAAAAGAAAAAAAGGAGAGGCTGGGAGCTTGGGTTGGGGGGGGGGGGAGGGGCGTGGCCAGCCTGAAAACGGCCCTCAGCCCCTCACCCAGGCTGGCCAAACACCCCAGGAGGACCCCCCACCCTGATCCGGGACACCCTTCAGGGCAAACCAGCCAGCCCCCACCAATGCACCAGGCCTCTATCCTATATAATAAAAGGGTAATATGCAAATTGACCCTAACAGCAGAACAACTGGGAATCACTGGTCACTATGACACACACTGACCACCAGGGGGCAGACGCTCAATGCAGAAGCTGCCCCCTGGTGGTCAGTGTGCTCCCACAGGGGGAGCTCTGCTCAGCCACAAGCCAGGCTGATGGCTGCCAGTACAGCAGTGGTGGCGGGAGCCTCTCCTGCCTCCTCAGCAGCACTAAGGATGTCCGACTTCAGCTTAGGCCTGCTCCCCGCTGGCAAGTGGGCATCCCCCGAGGGCTCCCGGGCTGCCAGAGGGATGTCTGACTGCCAAATTAGGCCTGATCCCCCGAGGAGTGGGCCAAAGCCAGCAGGTGGACATCCCCCAAGGGGTCCCAGACTGTGAGAGGGCACAGGGCGGGCTGAACCCCGCCCCCGCCCGAGTGCACAAATTTTTGTGCACCAGGCCTCTAGTAAAGTTATAAAATAAACCTCCCTGTAACCCAGCAATTCCATTCCTAGTATTTACCAAGGGAAGTAAAAGCACATTCTACACACAAAAAAGGTCTATACACAAAAGTTTGTAGTTTTATTCATAATGATCCCGAACTCAAACAACCTAAATGCTCCTCAACAGAATTATCAAGTCACATAACAGAACCCTACAGAGCAACAAAAGAGAATGAACTGATTCAGAGAAAACCTCAAAAACATAACTGAAAGAATGCAGACACAAAAGAATACAGACTGAATGGTTCCATTTAAATGAAGCTTAAGAGTCAAAACTAGTCAATGGTCCCAGCCATCAGAACAGTGGTTGCCCATAGAGCCTATAACTATCTATGGGAGCTGCTAGGGGTGAAGGAAATGTCCTGTATCCCTCCTGGGAGGGGTGATGCAGGTGCATTTGTTTAGCATGGACAATGCTCAACCCCCTGAGCCACCAGCCAGGGTGAAAAAGCCAAGATTTTTTAACTGAACTCTGGATCACTAGTCTGACCCACAAACCTTATTATAAGTTAGATATTATTCCTATCCCAAAAAGAAGCGACTCTCTGTGAAAGAAAACCTGAGTCCTTTTTAGAGGGCATTTTGTTTGTTTGTTTGTTTGTTCGTTAATCCTCGCCCGAGGATATTTTCCTTTCTTTTTCAAAACACATTTTTATTGATTTCAGAGAGGAAGGGAAAGGGAGAGAGAGTTAGAAACATCGGTGATGAGAGAGAATCATTGATTGGCTGCCTCCTGGGCATGGAGCCCACAACCCGGACATGTGCCCTTGACCGGAATTGAACCCAGGACCCTTAGTTCGCAGGCCGATGCTCTATCCACTAAGCCAAACTGGCTAGGGCCTGAGGATATTTTTCCATTGACTTTAGAGAGAGGGAAAGACAGAGAGAAACACCGATGTGAGAGAAACACATCGATTGGTTGCCTCCAGCACGAGCCCTGACCAGGGTCTGGGAATGGGAGGAGCCTGCAACCGAGGTACATGGCCTTGACCGGAATCAAACCTGGACCCTTCGGTGTGCAGGTCGACGCTCTATCCACTGAGCCACACCAGCCAGGGCTAATATTTTTAAAAAACATATTCAGACAGGCAAAGCCTCCAAAAATGTTCCTCTTCTTGTCAAGAGGGGAGTTTGAACGCCAGCAGATCAATAAAGACAGGAAAGGCGCATCACGGGAGAGCTGAGCAGAGCAGCTGTGCCCCAGCCGAGGAGGGTGAGGGGCCAGAGGAAGCGTGTAACCTCGGACACACCTGTCCCAGCTGCTACAGCAGTGTTCTCGCCTGAGGACCGACTGCCCCGAACTGGCCCAGATTCCCATCTCCTCAGCTGCGCTGGCCTGGCCCTGGTCACGTGCTAATGCAGCTCCCTCTCCTTCCACCCAGCCACTTGCCTCAGCAGGGGACCCTCACTTCCTGCACAGAAGGGTTCGGTCTTGACCTACCCTGGTAACTGCAGGCAGGCGGGGAGCAAGAGGCAGCATACAGAGCAGCCCACCCCCTGGGGCCCTGTCCTTGCAGTGCTTGGGCCACACGGGAGGCCCAGATGCCCTGAGAGGTGAACCCCACTTCCTGGGACTCCCCTCGCTGCCACTGTAAATGGAAAGGCCCTTCCCTGTCCACAGGCAGGGAAGCCCAAGCCACTCTGCTCTGCTCATTCCCTGGAATAGGGACAGCACCTCCTTTCCTTACAGTCAGGTTTGTGCCAACAATTATGAGGCAGTTTTAACCTCACACTGAGAAAGCTCTAGCATTTTCTATTAAGCCTATTTGGATCTCATCTGCCCTCTGGGGGGAAAGAATTTTGTTATCACAGTTTATTTAATGAAAAATCCACAGTTAATAAAGGCACAGTCTATAGTCCTGTAAGGTTTAAATTTAACGCAGAAATTAATACAGTGCTATGATTTTATAGCCTGGGAGAAAATATTCACCCCAGAGGTCTGATTTTGTTGCTCTTTGGAACATTAACCAATTATATGTAACTCAGCAATTTTATTGAGACATTTCTTTCCCTATGTACTACATAAATATCTAATCCTTAAATCCCCTTAAAACCAGCTCTTTGTGGCACTCTCAAC